GTTCTAATTTTCTTATTTTGCCATAGACCAATAAAAGTATGCTTAGGGGAATTCTTGACTCATAAGTTTAATAAAGGAAAATTTCAACTTTTAATATTCTAATTTTTATGCATACAAATAAAGTAAATAATACATCATTCCAAAATGTACACTGTTCTGAGTCTTAGAAAATTGCATTTGATAAAAAACTTAAATAATAAAAAATTCAAGTAAAATTAAATCCTTAATGAAGTGGGAGCCTGAAAGTAAAGTAAAATCATTTTGTAAAGAAAAATCTGGACTAGAAATTAATTTTCATTAAATATGCCATTTAAATGTTAATCAAAATTTCAGATTTTGAGCATTTTATTACATATAGATTCAATTAGAAATGGTTTTCTATAGCCTGTTTAACTGAAAATGTAAAGGCCTATGTCTTTGAGTTACTCAGTAATACAAGTGCATTGGATAAGAGAAAAATATTCCATTTTTTTGTTGTAATGGATTTGTTTTTATACCAAATGTTATTACATTAATAGTCCACTGAGATGAGGCATCCTGTCTCATTAAGAAAAATAAAAATTGCTGGGTATTTTTTAATAATTAGCACTAGTCTGTTGAAGCTAGGAAAGGTGTCAAGTCCTTATGACAACAGAAAATACCAGAAGCAAAACTAAATATCAAATAAATACATTTGAGGGTATGAGTGGGTGCTGAAACTGGCACGTTAGGAATTTATACCATTAATGAAATATTACTGGCATTAGTTCTGAAGAAAAATAAATATCATAGCAAACAATCCCCAAAGATCCTCCTGAATCTTCCTTACAGAGCATGTTATATGTGATATAAAACCATACAAAGAAAAAGAAACTAGATTTTCAAAAATTTCTGGTTCTTAGGTAACTGTGAGGGAATCCATCTAATTGAAAATTTTGCTATCTGCCACCTCAGGTCAAAGTGATATGAGAATTAGTTATGAAAAGGAGGGCTTGGAGATGAATCAACAATTAACCATAATTCCCATTATGAAAGGTTAATCATAATTAATTTTCAAATACTAATTAATTGTTGGCATAGTTCCCTTATTTGAAACTTATAACATCTTCAGTAGGAATAGCTATATAAGTCAATCCAAGGACTAACTGCGTTAGAAGATTGACAACGGAATTGGTGATGAAGTAAACCTTTCAAGCTCGTAGTTTTTAATTGGGAAGCACAGTCTATTAACAGTCAGGAAATTCAACTTTAGTTTTCTTTGTATAATAATTAAGTACCAGCTTCCAGATTTATCTCGAAGTTTATTTAATTTGTGGAATTTTATTGTCTATTGCTCCAATTTTCACCAAAATCTATTCATGTGACTTATTGCCAAATTTTTATTCTTGTAGGGTATTATTCTGTCTAAATTTCTAGTTCAAAACATAATTTCAAAATGTATTGGAGATTGATAAACTAAAAAAAAAAAAAATTCACAAAGAAAATTTGGGCTGTGACAAATTTAAAAAAAAAACTATAAGTAAATAAAAATGGGCAAATAGAAAGTCTCTCATATGCATCTTGCTTTACTAAAACAATGTATTCACTTTCTATCCCATTGTGAAAACTTGGGTGGGATGTCTAAATACAGATGTCTTCCAGTGACACACAAAAGCCTCTGAATAGAGAACTCTGAAGAGGAGATGTGACAATGTAGCTCTTTGACTCAATTTGGCAAATGCATCTGATCATTTTTCCAACCAAGAGTCTCCCAGTTCAATTGTTTTCCAATCTAATCTTTGCATCTTTTGTCTATTATGTCTTTATGATTTTGTACACATTTATCTTCTTTCTCTCCATTTCTGAGAAATGTCTTCCCTTCTTCTCAGGCAACTCTGTTTTCTAAGGCCCACCTAAGTCTAACCAGCTTCTTGGAAATTTCCCTTACTACTTCAGTTCCCACTGTTTTCCTTCTTAGATATTCCATGCCATTTATATGTACCATAAGGTTTAGCCCCTGAATTTACTGCTTTGAATGTTTCCTTAATTGCTTTCTGAGTCCAAGTCTTGTATGCTCTAACTTTATATTTGCAGAGGCAGGAAATTATACGTAATATATATAATTATATATAATGTATATAAATTTCATAGCTCTCTCTAACTCTCCCCTTCTCTGTCCAACTTATCCTAAACACATACCTACACACTCCTAACCACCATCCCACAGCCCCTAACC